GCCAGGCCACACCCCAGCCTCCCTCAGAGGCAGCCACTGGGGCTTTTCATGGAGCCAGCAATGGGGTGTCAACTTGCTAATTGCACCAAGCCCAGCCGCCCCATCCTGCCCTGGCGGCTCCCTCCCCCCTCCCAGCCCTTGCGCTTCCCCCAGCATCACTCGCTGTCATTGGGCCGGAGGGGTGGGGGCACAGGCTGTGGCTAGAAGTGAGGGGGTCTGGGTGCAGCTGGGGCCAGGGATGAGAGGATTGGGGTGCAGGGGGAGGTCCAGGCTGGGGTCGGGGCTGAGGCCCTGGATGGAGGGGTGCCAGGGTCCGGTTTTGGACAGGACAGTCCAGCCTTGGAGCTCTCTGGCCGGGAACCAAAGGGAGACACTAGACCAGACACTAGGAGTGTGGGGCGCGTTCTCGCCAGACGGGGGGGAGCGGCAGGTGTGGCGGGATTTGTGTTGGACCATCTGGCCACCCTGCTGGCTAGGGGGGAAGGGTTTGGGTTGCTGGGGGCACTGGGGATTGAGACGGGCTTGGAGCGAGCAGGCTGCAGGCAGGGCAGGGCTTGAGGGGACTCTAGGGTGGGCCGGGGTGCGGGAGAGGGTTTGGGGTCCCACTAGCATGTACTGCGGTTTCGGGAAGCAGCCCCAGAGCCCGGTGGCCTCTAGGCATAGGGAGGCTCTGCCCGCCGCCCTCAGGGTAGGGAGCCTGCCTTAGCCCCTGCCCCACGCCTGACTGGTCTTGAACAGACAGAGCCGGATTCAACAAACCTACAACTCGCGCTCGCCCAGCTCGACAAACAGCACCTAAAGCAAGGCCCAAGCAGCACGGGAGCCGGCGGGGCAGCACGTTCTTTGTCCTCCTTCGATCCAGCAGAGAACTGGACGGGTTTTCCTTCTGGACGCTGCAGTCAGACCCCCCGCCCCCCGAATCCATTACAGGGGGGGGGACGCCTCTCTCTGCACTCCGATGTTTTCCCTAAAGTTAATCAAGGCCTTAGGGACAATTTGGCAGAGCGGCCAAGCGGGAGGCCACATTACGAGGCTGCCAAAATCGTTCCTGTGAACCCCCGGCCCCGCCCTGCCCCAAGACAGCCTTCTGCTGGATCTCTGTTCTCCCGGCCCGAGCGGCGACTCCGCGGGAAGTGAGTTATCCCCCAGAAAGCTCAGTGACCTATTTTCCACCAATGAGACAGCCCGAGAGCTGCGTCAGGGCAGCCTCTCCTCATCAAGAGATCCACCGCCAACAGCAGCCAGATTTTCTGAGCAGCTTCTGCTCTAGGGCCTTGCTGGCTCAGTAAACATGACAGCGCAGGGCATTAATATTTGATGCGTATTGATTGCTATAGTCCCATAATTGCCCAGTTACACATGCGCAGCAAGCCCAGGAGACGCGCTACCGCCTGCACAAGGCAGCTGCGTGGGTGCCGGGGGGGAGTGTCCTGGCTGTGCAGGGTGTCTCTTCCCCAGCACAAGCAGCTGCATGAGGACTGATTTTCACACGAGTTTTAAGATTTTAAATACAGACACAGAGAAGCCAGCAGGTGGGGCAGGGGATGGCAGCCAGGCTGAAGCAGGGTCTGGGCTCTCAACTTGGGCAGCTCCAGCTTTACGACTCCACCTTGGGCAAGTGACCCAGCTCTCTCTCTAACGTTCCAGCTTCAGGTGCAGAGGTTTACTGTTTTCAAGGCCCCTCGCAGCCCTTGGACAAAGAGGCTGCAAGGAACAGAGCATTACGACTAAGGGTTGCAATTTGCAAATCAAACCAGCCAGCCCTTTGCAGCCAAGCGGCTGCTGGCCGATGTGGGGGCACAGGTCCAGAGCAGAAGTGCGTTCCACGTCTCCGGCGGAGGCCTGCAGCTGTGATGCAGGAGCACCAAGAAGGCAGGCGAACGGTTTAATCTTTCTGGAAGGTTGCAGGGTAAGGCTGCTGCTCAGAATCCAGAGCCCTGACATCCAAGAGCCACGAGCAGAGCGAGAGCCAGGCTGCTCCCTCTGCGGGCTAGGCTGCCTGCTGAAAGACACAGGCCCAGCCCTTCCCTGCAAAGCAGGGTGTCAGCCCCGTACATGCCTATGTGCACCAAGGGCTGTGGGAATGGGCAGCGCCCGCAGCAACAACACCGGGCTGTGGGCGGTCTGCTAAGCGGCTGTGTGGCACTGGAGTCCGGCCCAGCGCCCCGTGTACAGCCGGAAACACTGTCACAAAGCCTAGGCTGCACGCAGGACCAGGACACCGCACTTTCAAGTGGCGGTTCACACTCTTCTCTGGAAAGTGACTGTAAAAAACCAGCATCTTGGGCTTTCACTTATTTTTTGTCCCTCAGCAGCTCCAGGGCAAGATGCATTCTGCTCACACCTAGCGGATCTTGCGGCCAGCCCCAGCCGTGCCAGCAGAGCAGCAACACGCGTCCACATTCAGAATTATCAACCAACCTAGAGCCAGTGGAAAGCTCAGCTCCCTAACTGGAGCCAAACGGGAGCTTTTCCGTCACTGCAGTCAGTGGGTAGGACTCTGAAAACACAGCAGCTCCAGGGCAAGATGCATTCTGCTCACACCTAGCGGATCTTGCGGCCAGCCCCAGCCGTGCCAGCAGAGCAGCAACACGCGTCCACATTCAGAATTATCAACCAACCTAGAGCCAGTGGAAAGCTCAGCTCCCTAACTGGAGCCAAACGGGAGCTTTTCCGTCACTGCAGTCAGTGGGTAGGACTCTGAAAACACACCCGGATCACAAAATGTTTCAAACACCCAAATCCCTCCGCCCCCAAAAGTAATTCTTATTTGTGCTGTGCAATGAGACAAAAGCCTTGTTCGTTTAGTGGCGTGTCACAAGCAGAGAGCTTCGAGCTGAGCCGGGCCCCTTTGCCAGCAAGTGGGGCTGCGTGTCCAGCCTTGCTTGGGAACGGCCGGGGTCAGCTGATGCTCGGTGTTGCCATCTGTGCTTGTCCCGTAAAACCTTTGAGATTTGGCGTCTGTAACCACCCTCAGGCCTCCTGCAGCCTCTGGGCTCCGCAGTGTCGAGCCGGCCCTGGGAAAGCCAGCTGCACGTAGTGCTCTTGGGAGCTGTGATCGACGTGGCTACGTGCTCCTCCTCGAAGCCCCAGGCGTGGCGCAGGCGGAGCTGGGCTGCGGCTCAGCCTCACCTGGGCCAGCTGTCGTCCGCCTGCGCAGGGCAAGGCGCGGAGAGCTCAGGGCCCACGTGTGACTAAGAGCCAGGTCAGCCTGCAGGAGACGCTGCCCCACCCAGCTAAAAGTTCCACGTGGGTTCTCAGGCCTCCCTTGCCAGTCCCAGGGGTGCTAAGTGGCATGGCTGGCAGCTCCACGCTGCATTCGCCTGGTCATGGGGGGGAATACTCCACAGGAACAATGAGCTGGAGCCGCTCGGCTCGACGCTGCTCCGGAACAGCCGGGGGCCGACAGAGCGAAGCAGAGACAGTCCCTTCTCGCGGGCCAAGGAATCCCTGGAGCGGTTCTAGCCGGCAGCTACGTGTGCGCTCTGGAGAGGAGGGAGTCCGGCTTAGGGAGGGAATAGCGGAGTCCATTAACCGACAAGCGAAAGCTTAAAGGTTAATGCTACAGACCATGCACATCCCCTGCCACACCCATCTCCCACTGCACGTTTTAGCAGGCTGGTCAGGAGCCTGGCTCCATTCAACGCGTATTAAGGAGCTGGGTGGGCAGCTCCGACCCACGCCAGGTCCGGGAGCTCAGACCCACCCCAGACAGGGGCAGCTGCCACCCTGCGCAGGGCAACAGACAGTCGGTCTGTGAGGGGGGCTGGTTTTTAAACTGGCTCCCCTTGCGGACCAGCTCCTGCCTGGCCCCCATGCTTCTGCGGGGGGAGGGGCTGCAGTGCACTGGCTGCCAGCCCCACCCCCAGGGACTACAGAAGGGTCGAGTAACCAGTAAGAATTCAGGAGGTTAACCGACTGTTCAGTTAACCGATATTTAACACCCCGTCCAATGCGGCTAGCCCTGTGCTGTACGCGCGAGCAGGTGGCGGCGCAGCGTCCAAATGTTTGTGGTGCGGCGAGGGGGAGGGGGAGGGGGCGTACAGACGAACTCTGGTTTGCCTTTCATCACGTACCGAGTGGTGCAGGGCCAGGCACTCAGAAGTCACCTACCGCCACCGGCAACACGACACTGAGCTCACGCTGGCTGTTCCAGGCCCCTGCACCGGGGAGGGGGCAGGATGGTGCGTAGGACGCTCGTTGCAGGCATTGACAGGGAGTCACTCTGGTCTCGGGTCCTGTGCTTGGCCCACCAGCGATGCACAGGAGCTGCAGGGCAATTGCTTCTTCCCTGCAGCTCGGGGAAGGGTGGACGCTCTCGTCCCCAGCGGAGATGCCACACGCTCAGCCTGGTTGGCACAGAGAAGCCGGACAGGGACCGAGTGGATGGATCCTGCATAAGAACAAGGCTTCCGGCCTCTAATTTCACGTCCCGAGCTGTGACTTTGAGGCTTATAGCCTGGTCAAGGTCGGGAGGGTCACTCGATCAGTCCCCGGGAAGGCCCCAGCGTTGGCCCACGCCAGAAGCTGGACTAGATGGGCCAGTGATCTGAGCCAGCAGGGCGCGTCTCTCCCAGAGCAAGGGGCTGCTACCACAGCGCGAAATGGCTGAGAGACGACGGAAGAATCCCCGTCTCAGGCTCAGAAACGGCGGAACCATTTAAGCTGAAACTTCACAAACACATTCAGCCTGAGCAGGAACCTGCCTGCACAACTCCAGCCAGCTGGCTCCAGCAGCCGAGCCAAGGAGGGAAGCCAGGCACGGCCCCCCGGCGAGCTAC